TTTTTTTTTTTTTTTGCCTCACTAATTTGAGAGCAAAACAAAACACTTCATTTCACCAGTACTTACTTTTGGAAGCAAGCTGTTGAAATGCTGAAATATCACTTGGTAGGATTTCCCACTCATTGCAAAATGGTAACAGCTCCCTCTCGCTCCATCAGGCACCGAACTGTTCCCAATGTTAACGCAGGTTTCCTAAATTCAAAAGGGCATTGTTTCCACATGGGCTCTTAAAGAATGTCTCTGCTTTCCTATGTTTTATGGAAGGAAGTGTATTCAAGTTATGCAATAATGTGAGGGCCAGCAAATACATAATGTGCAATTTGTCCATGGAACCTAGACTCCGATGAAGAAGACACTCAAAATGTCCTTCCCAAATTATATGAACATATGAGACATTGACAACACAATGCTCAGGATCATGTCCTAGGAGTTCATACATGTATGTCAGTCTGCTGAGGAAATCCTTCCGAGGTACCCGTTAGTGATTCCAAGGAAGAGTAGAAAACATTCTTCCCTCCTCTTTCCTCTCCTCTTCATGCTTTTATTTCCTAAGATCTTTTACCAGTCATTCACTCACCAATAATTCCCCAATTTCTTCCTTGTAAAATAGGCAGACTCTTTCTTCAGAGCCTAGCTCCTTATAGCAACTGCCTTCTCCCCACCTCAATAGGCAACATGTTCCTTCATGGTGTTCCACTCCTCTTCCATGCCCTATGTTCCATTGCACCGGCTCTTTCTCTCCTGCCCTCCACTTGTCAATGTGCTCCCATCACTGCAATCTAGCTCCACCTGGCTCAGCCCCAAGAGAGAGCACCCGATGAATGCACATGCACTCACAGTGTTGACAGCTGATCATGCTTTTTCATGCAACATTTCTCAGGGGTCCTTACATTAGTGTAGAACTCTGAGTTCAAATAACATAGAAGGTGAGAACATTCTTTTCACTAGAGGGATTCATCTTAATATTCTGAATTGGGAGGCAAGGAGATACACCCCTCTCTTTCCACGCCCCTTCTCCCAACTGCAAAATAGCCAACAAAAATATGCTTAAAGCATTCCACATGAGGCAAGGAAAGAATTCCTTCTGCTTTCAATAGAAAGTTGGATAGGGAAAGTGGTGGGAGGGAGCCAGACTACCCAGCGATGGCCAAAACTTCAGTAAAGGTATTAAATTAATGAGTGGGTAGTGTGAGTGGACTGTTTGTTAAAAATTAGTGAAGACCTGGGGCGCCTGGGTGGCGCAGTCGGTTAAGCGTCCGACTTCAGCCAGGTCACGATCTCGCGGTCCGTGAGTTCGAGCCCCGCGTCAGGCTCTGGGCTGATGGCTCAGAGCCTGGAGCCTGTTTCCTATTCTGTGTCTCCCTCTCTCTCTGCCCCTCGCCCGTTCATGCTCTGTCTCTCTCTGTCCCAAAAATAAATAAACGTTGAAAAAAAAAATTTTAAAAATAAATAAATAAATAAATAAATAAAAAAAATTAGTGAAGACCTGATTTTTATCACACAGTGAAATGGAGGCAACATGCATTGACACAGAAGCAAGTGAGTTTGCAAGGATATAAGCACCAGAAATCTGCTGAAAGTGCAGATAGAGCTGTCATCTTTTACAGCCAATATGATGGGGTTTGAGCCAAGCAGGGGTAGGGTCACTGTACAGTTGTGCAGTTTGTATACTGTACAAGGCCTACTCTACATTTAACAATCCAAAGGGCTGGTCAGCCTGAAGGAAGGGAGCATTGTTGTAATTTATCACCTGGAGGACCATCTGGAATTCAGACAGGCAGAGGTGCCACATTTAATGATGGGATGTCAGGCTGCAGCCCATTTTTTTCACAAAAGCACAGGAAACTTGCTATCTCGAAAAGTTTGACACTTGCTAACTTAATGTCACAAACATAGCACAATCTAAATGGCCATGGATCTGGGGGCTCCTGGGTGGCTCAGTGGGTTAAGCGTCCAACTTCAGCTCAGGTCATGATCTCACAGTTAGTGAGTTTGAGCCCCATGTCGGACTCTGTGCTGACAGCTCAGAGCCTGGAGCCTGCTTCAGATTCTGTCTTCCTCTCTCTCCGCCCTTCCTCAGCTTGCAATCTGTTTCTCTCTCTCTCTCACAAAATAAACATTAAAATTTTTTTTTTTACCTTGAAGAAAAAGTATTTCTGAAAAGTCTTTAAAAAAATAAACAAGTAAATGCCCATGGATCTGGGTGCTATCAGACAGACCTAGATTTGATTTCCTGCTCTGCAACTTGCCAGTGGTGTGTCTTGGGCAAGTTTACCTTGTTGGACCTCAGTTTTCACATTTGTGAATTGAACAGTTTGTCAACTGTATAGGCCAACTGTGAGATTCAAATGGGAAACATGGACATAATTTCCCAGCCACATTGGAATCATGGGCTGATGCCAGCTCCCAACCCAGAGATTTGGATTTAACCAGTAAAACCTTGGCACTGGAAGCTTTAAAACTCTTCCAGGTGATTTCTTCATGCAGCCAAGGCGAGAAGTGCTAGTGGAAATGCTAAATGCTTTGCAAACTTCAGAACCTCCAGCTGTGAAGGGTTTTGACTTTGGTGACTTCTAACGCCCAGAGAAGGCTGCCCGGGCCAGGGCTGTATGCCATCAGCCCAGGCCACCAAGGGGCCTTCTAACATTTGCTCACATTCTTCTCTGGTCCATTCTCCTGGTTCTCAACCAGCTGCCAAGTCACAGAGGCAGGAACAAAATCTTCTGGTTCATTGGCTTCAACAAGGATCACTTGGCTTCCTCCAGGAATCATTTCAGAATTCTTTGCCACAGTAATCGCTGTTTGAAGGTTGTCACCTAGATGACAAAGAGAGTCAGCTTGCTTTCTGTGTAAATCTCTCAGCAGCTCAAATTAAGCTCTGCCTCCTCTGAGTGGGCATACCCCAATATTGGTGCTCTTTGGGGGGCATTTCCCACTTTTGGCCTTATTTGATAACCATTTGTCTGTCCCTCTTGCCCAAGCCGGTCTGTCTCTAGTGGTCAAAAACAATGTCTGCATCTCCCTGCCACAATGGCAGCATGTCTTCAACACTGAATATTTCCAAAACATGCAAGGATGAATAAGGAAATGGTTACGTGCTTTTTGATGAACCCTCAGAAGACTGAGAGCCCCAAGTGGTGAAGATAACACGGGCCCACTCCGATCGCATGGAACCATTTTGGGGGTCTGGATTGCAGTCAAACAGAGACTAGAACACTGAGGGCTGGGCCATGCGTGGACTGGATCATCATATGCTATGCCTGCCCCACAGCCCTGAAGGACAGCTCAGTAGAGTCTTACACCCTTTACACAGACGTCTCACTGGGGTTCTTGATGAGCACATATCCGTTCTTGTATTTAAACATTTACTGTGAGCCTATTAACTCTGGACCAAGCCCAAGTAGGGAGAAGGGGCATTAGACAAAGAGAATGAAGTAGGGTCTCTGCTACCAAATCTCACAGTCATCTTGGGGCTGCTGCACTTGTGCCGCAAGAACAGGAGTCAAAGAACGGTAACACATGACAGCTAAGTATTTTTCCTTCTGCCTCAGCCACATGAACCCACTTAGCTCACATGGTCTTTTTCTGACGCCTGGGATACATTGAACGTGTCAGGCTTCCAGAAGTACACACCAGTAATCATCACGGTCCTGATGCAGGCTTCATGCAGTTCCTTCAAGACTGACTTGCTTTCTTTTTTCAAGCGATTCTCCATTATGAGAAGTCCCAGAAATGTCAAGTCTGACTCCACCTTCTCTCTTGGGATCAGTAGAAAATATTAAAGCTTATTTATGGAGTCTTGACGGTTGAATTTATTTCTTCCTTAAAAAAGTTTTTCTAAATTTTATCAATGTAATGCATGCATATGTTTTAAAAATAAAAAAGAACCCAAAAGCTTATGATGAAAACCAATAGTCCCTATCTCCACCCCTCTCCTTCCCAGAGGCAACCACTTTTATATCTTTTAGCAGCTTCTTCCATTTTTCAACTCCATTTTTTAAAAGAATGTGTTTATCTACCAACTCTTCTGTTGGTTTTTAAAATTTTTGTTAATCACACATATTTTGTTTTTAATTTCAAAGACCTTTTTTGTGACCTGGTAATCAGTTTAGTTAGGCATTTAGTAAGTCTACGGGATACTACGGTAACAGTTGAATATGGAATCATTCCTTTCAACCTCCATCTGTAACCTCCAGAAAATATATGATATCAGCTAAGCCTTCAAAAAGTTATCAGAATTTGAAATTGGAAGCTTGGAGTCTAACTGGGTTACACTCATTTTATAGGAACTCACCTCAGGAATGGAATAAATCTCAGGTGACTTTTTAAAAAGTCAACGTGGGGGGCCAAGATCTCTTTCTTATCTCGCATTGTTCCTTTTTCTGCCCAGGGGGGAGTTAAGATTGCAGGAGGAGCTGGAGACCTAGGGACCTAACCTTGTTGGGTACAATCTCCCATGTTCAGTCCTGTCCCACGTCTACCTTCCACAGTACGTGATAGAGCTGAGTCTCTGCCTGTCAGGCTCTACAGGGTGGAGCAACTTCCCTCTCGCCATCTCTCTCTCTGGCATGGCGTAGACCACACTTCTTCCATCCCTACTGATTCAGACTCCATTCACCGCCCCCCACTTACTTTTCATCTTACAGAGATGATAGAAATCTCCTGTCTGCACTTAATCACCTCTCTAGTTTTCTTTGATGTTATTTCTTTTCTATCTTGCTGGTAGGACTTGGGAGATAGAAGAAATAAACACACAGTCAGTAAACCTTCTTCAAGAGAAAGAGCAGAGTTGGATTTCTTGATGAAAAATATTACTCAAACTTAGATGGGAACACAGTGAGGAAACTTCTCTCTGGAGTACAGAACAAGTTACTCCATCTTTCATTCAAAAGTCCACTCACCAATCACTCTGTTTTAGACCTTGTATTGGGCACTTGCTGAGTACTCAGATTATCAGATATGAATCCTGCCTCAGTGATCTCAGAGAATATGATGAAAGACCTACCTTAATTCAGAATGTGTTAAATTTCTATCATTTAACTTCATAGCTGTCTATTATACATTGGATTCATATTTTCCCATTAGCTAGAACTAAAACAAAGAATCGTCCCACCAGTTTCTTCCAGTTTTGGTCTCTATTTGAGGACTCTTCCCTTTTTCACCAATTCAGGCACTTGGGCCTCTTGCTACCTTGCAACATTCCCGGCAAATCCCTGTGTCAGGGCCCTTGCACTCACTCTTCTGGCTGCCTGCAATACTCTTCTTCTGGATATCCTCATGCCATATCTCTGTTCAAATGGCACCTCTTCAGAGGACTTTCCCTGATCACTCCATGTAAAATGGTATCATGATCTATCTTTCCCAATTAGGATATAAGCTTCTGAGGGCAAAGATTGTCTCACTTCAGAATCTTCAGTGCCTTAAAGAGTATCTTGTGCACCCTCAAACTCAATAGAAATTTGCTAAACCAATGAAAGGGAGAATTTTGACAAAGTATTTCTTCTGTTTGTTAGTGTGGGGTGTTTTATTTTTTCCAAAAAAAAAAAAAAAAGAGAGAGAGAGAGACAGAAAGAAACTCTTCTACTTCCCTTTTATGACACACCAGTTTTTAAAGAAGTTTTTGATCTTTCTGATTCGAAAACTTTGCAAAATATAATTTGATTCTAAAAAAAAAACACTGAAAACACTTTTCCCTTACTCTGTTTGAAAATAGTAGCGAAATTTTAAGAAGCATAATAGGATCCTGATATTCTCTGGGAAAATCTGAGATGATTGGAAATCTAGCACATTTGATCATCACTTTCTTATTCTGTTATATTTATAATAATGTCTACTCATCAGTGACTTTTAAATGAGAACATCAAAGCTACATTAGTGTGTGGCAGCTGGGTGGTGGCAATATTCCTTGTCAAACTACATGAATTTTTTCTTCACACATAACCTTAGCTTTTGTTATTAAAATTTTTGCCTTGAGAAATTACAAAATCCTGTGTGTTATGGGTCTTCGTGCTTGCTCAAGAATAGCTAACACCTTTAATGTTAAATCTGAGAGTGCCATAATTTATTTCATTGATTTCAAAATGAGCTTTGTGATTCTATTTAGAAGATTAAAATGTCATGGCTGAAAAGCTCCTTAAAGATCATCCAATCCTACACTTGAGAGACGAGGGAAATAGACACAGTGCAAGGAAGGGACAAAGATTGTATTAGAACACATGGACATAGCTTGTAAACAGTAACATTGGACCAAGGATATCCACATCTTATGTGAAGGTGCTAATTGCATATAAGTGAGGGTTTCTCTATCAGCAACACTTCATCGAAGATAATGCATAGTTTGTTATTCAATGTTCCGCAGTACTAAGTACTAAGTACTAAGTACTAAGGAGACAAAGTACTCCTTTGTCTTAGACAATTCAAAAATAACCTTTAAAAACTGAGAAACATTAAAAGAGAAAAGAATCTGCAGATTATACTCTAATGAGGACATTTTATCCATTAATGTAATTAAGAATACTGAATCCTATTTCATATAGCTCAACTTAGACTCACTACATCTCCAGGTCTGAAACCAGGTTTAAAGCATACTGGAGGTCAGTGTGTCACAGAGCCCACTCTCTCCTTCTCAACCCGTTTGTACATGGGACCCCCAAGCCAGTCAGCCACATAATGTTCCAAGATTGAAGGAGTGTTGGTTATTTTTGATTGGATGATGGACTGCCGGGCAGAGATAGCTCACTGACAGCTGGGAGTCAAGAGATCTGGACTACCATCTTTGTTCTACCTCCAACCAGTCTTCCCCAGCGTGGCTTACGGTTGCCCGGCTCCAAGTTAGGAGATTGGATGAGACGACTTTGCATCTCCAGGAGGCTTCCTCGTGATTGGAGCTGTCCTTCTGTCCATCTCCAGCATTCATTTACTTCACACACACAGAGCCTGCTCTAGTGTCGATATCTGACTTCCTTACCTGGCTAAATTCTCTACTTCTGAAAGCTTCTTCATCTTCAAGCCTTTATGGGCAAAAGCAATGACACGGAAGCCTTGTATTGTGTATTTCCTGAGTTCCTGTGGGAAATTCTTGGGTACTGTCAGGTGAGAGGAAAGAGGTAAAGGTAAGGTCACACTGAAGGCTGCCCACCTCCTAAGCAAGACTCTGGGATCCAGTCACTGTACCTTGTTTTAAAATTCCAAAAAAAAAAAAAAAAAAAAAAAAAAAAAAAAAAAAAAAAAAAAAAAAAAAAAAAACTTTAATAGAAAAACTACAGCTCTGGCTAAAAGCCACAACTTCATTAGGGTGCTCTTATTATTCTGACAGAAATGAATGCCAAGGATGCGCCAGTCATCCCCTGGGTGTCAACTCCACTGGCTGGCTTTAATAAGGATAGACCTCACGACTATGTCTACAAGGATAAAATGAAAACAGCTGATCCTCTGGATGAGGGGTCAGCAAACTAAAGGCCAAATTTGGTCCATTGCTTGTTTTTGTAAACAAAGTTTTATTGAAATGCAACCATGCCCATTTGTTTATCATCTATGTTGGGTTTGGGGTCACAATGGCAGGGTTGAGCAGTTGAGACAGACACCATGTGGCCTGCAAAACCAAAGTTATTTTCCACCTAGCTCTTTGCAAAAATGTTCGCAATCCCTGTGATAGAGGACAGACGACACAATGCCAATGTTTGTGTATTTTGGCATGGTAGTCATTACCAATATTACAATATTTGTGAAATCTTTATGGCTCGTAGGATGCCTAGAAGAGCATTAAAAAGAACAGTGTAATGGAAATGTAGTGGCTTAGGTAGCAAAACACTTGATTTCTAGTATCCATTCTACTGCCAACTAGCTCTCTGACCTTGGGCTTGGTAGGTCTCTCTTCTGGCTCCTCAATTTTCCCATCCATAGAATGAGAGGGTGTGGACCTCAATGTCCCCATTCAGCTCAAGCTTCCTGTAATTCTAAAATGATCCAGAAGGTGGGGATCAAGGCATCTCCTAGCTCTCTATTTCCTAAATACAGGGGGAGAAATCACTGAAGTATTAGCATATGTCAAAGATCTGAGGTCAGGACAAATAAGAATTGGAAGGGCTACCAGAAGGATGAGAGGTGAGAAGTGACTGACCCAAACCCTTACCAGGGAGCAAGGGCAATAATCACCAGTTAAAATTTCAGGAAGATACTCACTTGCATCTGTGAGACTGAAAAAAAAATGTATAGCAAAATATAGGCCATCAGTCTGTGAGGGATAGAGGGATAGAGTGTTAGAGGTCATGGGAGTTCTGAGGAAGATCAAGGTCAGAAAAAGGGGCCGCTTCTAAGGTAAAAAAGGCTCTAAGTAGAGGGAGAAGTTAAAGCAATCATTTGCCAAATCTAAAATTGTGTGCACAAGTTGATGGCTATCAGCAATCATAGGGAGAATGTAGATGAAAATCAGGAGAAAAAGGCCAATTTTATCCAAATGAACTCATTTGAATGCAACAATATCCTTACAAATCTGGGCTGCCGCTTAGAGAGTGCATATGTTTGTAAGACAAAGAGACAATACAAATCAGCTCAAAATCTAGGCCAGAAAGATGAAATTGCTGTGAAAATGATCAATTGCATTGCTCTAATACCGTCTAATTTGCTCTAATCACTTTGTGTGTGTGTGAAAGATTTATCTTGTCTGTATTCTCCTTCCATTGACCGGCACGAGGCCCTTACATGGTGCCAGCCCCCAGAGGTGTCAGGCGGAGCGCCCCAGCTGCAGGCTGAGTGCAGGGCCCAGACCTGTCCCATTATTCCCTTCACACGTTCCTGGTTCGCTCACCCTTACGTAGCTTCCTGTTCTGGCTCCTGATATTTGCTTCACATCTCCTTCCCTGATACCCCATTGTGGTTGGACTTTTCTGGATGGATCAAAGCCAGATATTTACTCTCTGCCTCACGGCCTTGAAATGGTCACCTCTGTCTTATCAGGTCTCCTGGGCCCACTTCTCACTCACTGAGAAAACAATCACTTCCACATTCATTTAGTCTTGTGTGCTTTGTGTGTTTGAGCTTCTAAAACATTTTTACCTTCTGAAAGAGAGAACAGGGTCAATTAGTACCTGTTTCAGACTTGCAGAACTTGGCCAGCATCTCCGGGGCACCCTTCACGTACACATGGAAGTGATCCTCCCCTGCCACCTGAGCGACCACAGACATCCTCTGCAGGCTTGAGGAAAATGGAAACTGGCGCAAGATGGCTATGGCTTCCACGGGACTCTGAGACAGCACCAACAAAGGAGAGCTTAAGATGCTTGTGAAATTTCACAGATGCACACCAACAAATAGGACTTGCTCTGCAATGAACCCAGGGACGTCATGAAGTGGTATGTTTGTCACAACATTGATACTTTTCTGTCTGCCTCGACGGCGATTCCCTCATCAAGTTGTCTGGTTCTGCAAGGCCTTTCCCTTTGACTGCCTGGAGAAATCCTAATCATCTTCCCGGCCAAGTTCACAGGTCCCTTCCTCTGTGGCACTTCTCTCTCATAAATAGTATTCACTCTCACCTCTGAACGCCTGCAGCTCTTTCTTCAGCCCTTATTATAGCAGTCGGCCCAGGGTATTGCACTGATTTGCACCTATATGGATTTTTCTACCAGCCTCTGTACTCCTCCAACACAGAGCCCCACACATCTAGCTCTGAAATCACTCTATCCCTTAGCACCTAGCGCAGTGCTCTAGCATAAGACAGGTTCATGAATAAATTTAAAAATAGATTCAGGAATGAAGGGACGAGCAAACCAACTATGGACACTGTTAGTTTCAAGGAGAAAGAGCTGTCTGATTTGAAAAAGCAAGTCATACCCAACTGGCTTTTGGTCCTGGCTTTATTATTATGTTTGAACCTGGCATCCCAAATGTGCGGTAGTCTGCATCGCAATCTTCCATTATCTGTTTCAAAATGAAAACATTCATAAGATTCCTTAGAGCAAAATAGTAAGAAAAAAATACCTCTCATTTGCATAGCACTTGAACCTTTTCAAAGCCCCTTCCACATATTTTCTCTTGTAGGCCAATTATCTGAATACCATCATTGTCAAATTTCTGTTGCGTTATTAAGGACCTTGTTGGAGAATGTAAAAAAGCCAGAAATATTGTGACTACAGTTTAAGTGGTAATTGATGGAAGAAATGCCGGCTACAGGCCAATGGCTCTTCCTGAATGGTATGACTAGTAATTGGATGACAATTTAATATAGCTGAGCATATTAGCCCTCAGTTGAGTTAGGATTGGGTCTTGAGATAAACCTGGGATTAATTCTTATTCTGTATCTACGTTACTAGCCTAATTGGTTAGCAAGTTAGCTGTTGGCAAATTAGAAAGCATATTTGAAAACAGTTTGCATTCTTTGGAGGTTGCAACAGTATAAGTTACACCATTTGAGAAACCAATATTAACCTAAAATATAGGAAAGGCAGTCAGATCTACAAATCAGAAAACAGGAGACAACATTTGGCCTCTGCTCCATCACTTACCTGTTTAACATTGGGGACAATGCCTCCATTTCTCCAGATCTCAAATTTCTTCTGAAAAATATTCTGACATCCCTTGTAGCACTAAAATTATTAGAGTCTACAAGGATATTTCCCCTCCTCCTTATGTTTCATGACAGGTTCCTATCCACCAAAGGATATTTAATTTGAGACTGTTTCTCACCTAGCTTTAAATTATGCAAATCACTTTGCACTTCCATACTTTGCTTGGGGTGGATACCACTGCTCTTAAAGACAGTTCTTACAGAGCTAATCCTAGCAATTTATATTCCTGCACAAGACCCCAACTTGTATGTCATTTGTACAAATAGACCAACACCCCTCGATGGAGAAGAGCCACCGTCAGAACCAGGATCAAAGTCACATATAGTAAGAATGACCCTAAGCAGCTCATCATTGTGTCTACGCGAAGGATGCCGGTGAGGGCAATGTGTAATAATTACACTGATTCCTCTCCGTTAAGATCCAGGAGAGTGATTATCCCTTTGTGTTTAAGTAGAAGATTTCTCCACAGCAAATGCTTAAATTTTAACTCGCTGGTATCAAAAATTTCCATGTTTACCAGGTTTCCTCTTTTATTATTTTGGCTTCTAGAAAGCTACAATTTTGCCAGTACACACTTTTTAAAAATTTTTTTATAAGTTTATTTATTTTAGATAGAAACAGTGGGGGGGGAGGGGCAGAGAGAGAGAGGGAGAGGGAATCCCAAGCAGGCTCCACACTGCCAGTGGAGAGCCCAAGTCGGGGCTTGAACTCATGAACCCGTGAGTTCATGACCTGAGTCAAAACCAAGAATTGGACACGTAACCCACTGAGCCACTCAGGTGCCCCTCCCCCCACTATAAATCTATACATCTATAAATTTGCCTTTCTGTGAGGTGTATTTCATGTCCCTGCAGTCATGTGTTTTCATTCCTTTAACATTCTGTTTAAATGCTGCCCTGTAGTTAAGATATCATTGTCAGTAGCTTGAAAACGTGTTTTGTTTTGGTTTGGTTTTTTGGAGAACAGAGTAACATAATTAACTAAATAGTGACTGACTGACTGAATGAATGAATGCTTTTCACTTGGTGGGCACTTTACAATGCAAGCAGCCCCTGTAGGCTCATAGGATCAGTGCTTACCACAAGTCGGTGAGTGAGGCATTATTATCACCAATGCACACCTGAGGTAACAGACTCAGAATCTTGGTTCTGGATTTGGGGTCACACAGCTAGAAAGTGATGGGGTCAAGAGGTCTGCTCACCATGTCATGACAGCCACGAGAATGGGTTTATACCCTTCAACTGTTCATACTCAGCTCAAAAAATTGATCCAGTTGGACTGGGAAACCTTCAGGCTAGTATCTAGACCTATACTGTCTAATACAGTAGCTACCAGCCACCTGTGGCCATTTATATTTAAATTGATGAAAGTGAATAAAATTGAAAAATTCCGTCCTTGATTGCATAGCCAAATTTTAAGTACTCGATAACCACATGTCGCCGGCTAGTGGCTACTCTACTGAATAGCACTGCTTTAGACCACTGTTTCTCTGTGAGTGTTACCGAGAATGTACCACGTTTTGGCCTGTCAAGGTTTTGTGGTCAAGAAGGTTTGGTAAATGCTGCTTATCCTATTCCTTCTTGAATATTCACAATGCACCACAGTATACTAAAGAAATCTGGTAGTCAAGAAATCAATTTTACTTTCTTAAAACAGCAGGTTCCCAAACGATTTGATCACGGAACCTTATTTCAAGCTGCACTCATTAACAGAGTTCTTGGGAGCAGATACTGGGAAATTCAGGTAGAGTCGAACCTTCCTTCAACGTTGTTACAAATCTTCTCTGAGCTTCAAAGTTAGAAAACTTTTCCACTTTCAGTAAGGATTTCTTCAAGTTGTTCTCATTTAGCCAAAACAAGAAACTATCATCTTACCCAGGCAGTGCCCTCAAACATTTTGAGGTCCAGTGGGTCTCCTTGGATGGTCCCATTGAGAAGGATCAGAGAGTGGCAGCTGGCCATGGCAGCACACAGCGGGCCCCATGGCAAAGCCTTGCCTGAGGCAAAGCTATTCACTTCCTGAAAACTGGGAGAGAAGATGATTAAGAAATGAAAGTCTTCAACAAAATCATTTTACACACTCTGCCCCTTAAATCTTGCCAACACAGAGTTTCAATAATGCTTAACCTTTATGTTCAAATCCTTCCAGAGCTCCTCATGCCCCGTATGATAAAGTCTAAGTGCCTGGATATAATCACAGAGACTTCTGTCAGGTTACTTGAGGTCAGTGCCTAGGGTGGCAGTAAGCTCAGAGCCTGCAGCCTGCTTCAGAATCTGTCTCCCTCTCTCTCCACTCCTCCCCCACTCATGCTCTCTCTCTCTCTCTCTCAAAAATAAACATTAAAAATTTTTAAAATAAAAGAAAACCACACCTGGACTCTGAAATATTTCTCACGACTCAGTCCTTTGCCCTATTTCTAGAAACTCCTGGCATAGATATCCAGCGTCTCATTTTCCTTTATGATGGTAGACTGGTACAGTTTACCATTCTCATTTCCCATCTAATAGCCAAATGATAATTGTAGACAGTGGTTTCTACACCCCGAAAACCTGAGCATTTGGGGAAAGGAAAAGAGAGGAGGGGTGAAAACTCTAAGCATCCTATTCCCCTTTCACTGGTCTGGCCAATAGAAGACAAAGCAGTGCCTGTCCGGACAAAAGCTTGGCCCGGACATCTGAGCAACCAGGAGCTGAACCACATGAGTAGGGTTGAACCCAAGTATTTTCTGCAACATCGCACTGCCTGTCTGCTGTTATGTTGTGCCAGAGCTGTGCTTGGCCCCATCACTGTGCTGGAGAGCCCCTGCATGACTCAATGACAGAGTCTCAACCACTGTTTAGAGCCAAGGGGGGATATCTAGAGCTGAAGAGTCAAGGCATCTTGTACTTAGACCGAATGGGCAGATCTCAGCCCTGTGGGGAAAGGGAGCTAGGGCCCTCTCCTCACTATCCATTCTGGGGTAGCATCTCTGTGATTGTTCTCCCCTCTCCTGTGGCCAGCTTTTCACCTGTGTCTGTAAAAATGGTAGCCATATACCCTTTAACATTCTATCTCAAGTGCTATCTTTGTCAGGTGTTTTTCCTCATTCTGTTCATTTCCAAAATTAATTTCGACATTTTATCCACTATGTTATTCCGAAATCCAAGACTGTGTATTATATCAAACAATCATTATTTTTTCTTCTCTCTCCTGATATGCGTGCCTTAATCATAGCTCTTTCCATGGACTGTATTATGCGTAGAAGATGAATGCATTTGTGCCTTCCAATCCCATGAGATATGAGCTACATGAGGGAAGGGATGGAACTCTTCCTTTCTGGACTCCTCTCCCCACCCCGCCCAGTCCAATAACCACCAGCAAATCTTTGTGTTTTTTGTTTTTTTTTCAACGTTTATTTATTTTTGGGACAGAGAGAGACAGAGCATGAACGGGGGAGGGGCAGAGAGAGAGGGAGACACAGAATCGGAAACAGGCTCCAGGCTCTGGGCCATCAGCCCAGAGCCCGACGCGGGGCTCGAACTCACGGACCGCGAGATCGTGACCTGGCTGAAGTCGGACGCTTAACCGACTGCGCCACCCAGGCGCCCCTCTTTGTGGTTTTTAATTAAGTACAGTTATGATTTCACCCTTTGCTCCTCTTTTTTATTCATTCAGCTTCTTACTCATCCAGTTCGTTCTATTTTTTCATGTGGAGTTTGAAGGCCTATTTTCCCCATCTGATTCTGAACTTAGAACCCATTTAATTTAACAAGTTAGAATAATTGGGACATCAGAAGGATGGACTTGAATAGCACCAAGGTAGCTACACCAATCCCACATCCCATCTTCACTGAAGTGCTTACCAGTTGTCAGCAGTAGGGACCGTCCCCCAGAGGTCCAGCCCATCTTCCGTAAGAGTGCCAGTCTGGAAGAAGTTAGAATTGGTATTAGCATAAGATTTAGAACTTTTGATTTAAACAAACCCCATGTTAAATCATGTTTGTTTAAACATGATTTAAACAAAACCCAACCTCCCAAAACATTAAAGTAGATCTAGTTGTCCAAAGTCCTTGTTTGTAAGCATTAAATTTTGTTTTTTTATTATTTTTTAAAATATGTTTTTAATGTTTATTTTTGACAGAGAGAGCGAACATGTGTGCATGACTTGAGTGGGGGGTGGGGCAGGGCAGAGAGAGAGGGAAACAGAGGATCCAAAGCAGACTCCATGCTGACAGCAGTGAGCTTGATGCTGGGCTCAAACTGTGAGATCATGACATGAGCCAGTCAGACGCTTAACCAACTGAGCCACTCAGGCACTCTTGCAAGCATTAAATTTTAAATCAGAGAAGGGTACCTGAAGGAAGAATTCAGGAGGTGACAAATGATTCCTGAAAAGACTGTGTCAATAATGAAATGATTCTAGATACCAATCTAGATATCTAGATAACAAATGATTCTAGATAACAATCAAATGTTAGTGTTTTGCTTTTGTGTGTTTATTTTTGCACTTGCTGTTGTTAAATAAGAAGCATTTAGTGAATGGAAATCCAATAAGGACCAGTACGAGTTTGACTTTATAGTTGGCACCTGCTATCTTTCTAAAGCAGAGTTCAGAATTTTTCTTTCTTTTTAAGACTGATTAGTTCATAGTCTGCCATCTGGCTCACAGCAATTTTCTAAAATATGGGTGACATGATGACTGTCCGGATTGATAATGAAATGTTGATAAAGGGCTTTGAGAATTTAGAGAGAAATGAAGTGCTAATAATAAATACTCATTAATGCCCATGAATGGGTTTTATTGTTAGATCAAGAGGAAAATGGTTGGGAGATTTGATTTGCTATATTATGGGAGAGTATTTATCACATAATGTAACAAAGAAAGCAACATGGAACTAAGTACTATGACAGCACTTTGAATTTGCTTATTGCTTCATAGCCCACCATTAATTACAGACCCCGGTGTCTTTATGCAAGAGGCCAACACCCAGTCAGAGTAACCATGTGGCTCCCACTACTTCAGCGCTGTCAAGGCTGAGCAGAACATTCCCAAGTGCTGGGGTGTATCCCTTTTCAATACTGCACCCAGGTCTCTGTCATCATTCTTTTTACAGTCATTTCTGTATAAGACACTGAATTTTCTAGCTTCCTATCAAATGACATTTCTTTCATTACAGCACATTAAGTTGGCATAACGCTTTATGATGAAGTGCTTACAATGCTTCTAATTCTTACATTCGACTAAATAGGGAAGGGACATTCTCAGGTTAGAAGTTAAAGGAGCAGCCTCAAGGTCCAGTGGCTTGCAGGTTGGAGAGAAAGAACCAGAATCTGGCCCATCTAGAATCTCCCTCTAGATGACAAATGTTAAATAAATTTTGCAAAGCATGCAGAAAGAAAAAACCCATACTGGACTTCCAATTAAGGAGTGAAGGATTCTTTGTTTCACTCATTTATTTGGGCTTCACAGAAAGCTAACATGCTTTGTGTGAGTTACTCCTTGAAGAACAATAGAAAAAAACCTATTTGCTTGATTTCCCTCCTGCATTTTATGAGGGTTCCAACCTGTGTGTTTAGATTCCAAATCCTCTTGAGTTATTCCATTTCAAAAAGAGTTAGCAGCTTAATTCAAACTGAAATATTTCCCTGATGATCATATTTTTACACATCAATATTTTGAACATGAAAACAGAGATTATATGGCAGCAAACAGAAATGGGACTGTGTCATTTCTCTATGTGAAAATGATTCTTATACTATAAAACTAGCCATGAACAGAAAGAAAACTATAGTTACAGTTGTAAAGGGAATAAGACAGAAAAAGCCAACTTCTTAGCATAAATACTAGCCCAGGCTTGGGCTGAGCTGAATAGAAAAGAGAGAACTGTTTTAGAGAACTTAGACCAACATAAACTAGAAATATATGGGAATAAGAAGCACATGGTGAATGTCTTCTAAGTGGAAATAAAAGTAGATGGGGACCTCGATTAATTGTGGGGTGCTTCATTCCAACACCATATTGGTAGAGTTTTACAATGTACAAGCTGGAAAGGCACCGAGAGATCATTGGAGTTCAAATTTCTCTTGATTTCTCATTTTGCCGATTCCCAACCCAGTGTTTTTTGCACTATGACATGTTGTCATGCCACTGGGGTTTGGCCAAGCGTGCCAAGGAACAGTTCTTCAGTTGGTCTAGCAAAGGAGCACATGAGGACGTGGAGGGGAAAAGCTTTGTATGAGACGTAAAATGAACAACTGGAAAAATTAGTTTTAGAATAAGACAAATATGTAATGAACCTAACTTTATAAATCTCCCTCTTATATTACAGGCACCAGTGAGGCTGCTGGGTAAATAATGGGAATCCCTACCAGAAAACTTCCAAGCCGTGGAACTAAAAGAAGCTACTGTTAGCCCTAGTGGTTAACTTGTGGAGTGGTGACTGAGGGTTTTCTTTGCCAGAGGAAACTCAGCCAGAATAGAATGGAACTAATTTTAGGGCTGAGCTGCTTCCAGTGTGGAGCCAAGACTTGTCAAGTCTACTCATGGTGTCTCTCCAGTTTGTCCTATACTCTCCATTCTTGCCCTCCTTGCTTAGGACAATGACCCATCTCTTCAGTCTTCCCTAGATAGCTTCCTGTCTCAGTCCTACCTCCCTTCTGTTCCTTCTCACCAATTACCCTCGATGGAGTAAACAAAACACACCTATAAAAACGTCTTTGATCGTCTTTAAAAAAAAATGGTACGGCTCCCATTCTCCTTCACAAGGCCCCACTTCTTAGCTTGACACATCAGGCCCTGAGCAATTGGGCTCTTCCTCTCCAGCTACATTCCCTACCACACAGCCCCTGTTGTAGCCACACCCACATGCCACAGGCCATGACATCCCTGTGCTTCTGAACTGCTCATCTCTGAGCCCATTCCGTCTAACAAGCAAAGCCACAGCTCAGCGGTGACCTCCCATCCATGGCAGGTAACTTAACTTCGATGCTTTTCCATGCCTCTTTGAGCATGCATTTCACTGCATTATCATGGTTTACACTTCCATTGTACCTGCTTCCTCAGCTAAGTCACGAGCTTCTCCAGAGCAAGGACCCTCTTATTAATGGGACTCTTGGCCAAGGTAGGTTAATTAAAAAGTGTCAAAGCCTTAATTAATTAATTATTCTAATACAAACAAAGTGAAGACATGGAGGGACCAGCCAGGCCCACTGTGTTACAACAATTAAATTGGCCTGCCCAAGCAGAGGGCAGGATCTGAACAGCAGGTGGATGAGGCTGAGATCCCTCCAGAGGGACACAGGACCCCCACAGGAGAATCACAGAAAGAGGTTTTAGACCTGTCCCAGAGCAGCAATCCTTCCCATTTGGACATACTTCTCCCCTGCTACCTCCAGAACCCTAAGCAGTTACAGGACAACATTCTTCTAGTCCTGAGTCCTGATAACCTGGGGGTCAAAGGAGAAAGGAGGGACTGAGTGCATTAACACAGGCACTGTCCCCTCCCTCCCTTTCCTTAAAAGAAGCAGAGGAGAAAAATGGAATATTTTCAATTAAGCACAGGACAAAGTATTTCAGGGAACAGAAATGTTCCTCACAATTTTTTTTGCCTGAAAAAGCCAGTCAGTCATAGAAGTTATTACAATAAGAGATTGTTTTGAAACCCAATACAGGCACAAAAATATTAAATTTCATAGGGAAGAAATTTATGATGTGATATAGCTAAACCACTTCCTTAGGACTCTGTACAGTGGGCTTGTAGAGCATGGTCTCACACTAGCCCACTGTGTGACCTTCTCTGGCCTCAGTGTTCCTATATGTAAAATGAATGCAGTGAACCAGGCATTCTTGGAGGCCTTTCCCAGCTCTGCTCTGCCTTGAAATCAACCTCCAACCAGGAAAGTTTAGATCATACTTTGTCAAAGCACACGAGGTTTATTTGTCCACACATATTGATTCTCTGTGGGGAAATACAGAAGATTTTCTTTTTCTTCAGCCTCTTTTGTGCATACACGATTCCTGTGGTCAGGGCAGCTGGTAGCACAGGAGGGACAGTCACGGTGAGGAGAAGCAGGGCCATGGTTGCCGTGTCTCTTGGAGAAACCTAGGGAGGGAGGGACATAAAGGTTAGCCTAGCAGCACAGGGCGGCACCCTTTCTAGCACCATCTCCTGCAGCACTCCAAGAGTTCTAGAAGCTCAAAGTATTTAAAGAGAGCTGCTCTCTCCGTGGGGCAGAGAGATCTCTTGGGTGTGCTTAAGGAACAGACAAGTTGTCTCCCATTGTGCACAAAAGAAACTCTGATCCCTTTTCTATGTCCACCCTGCCCTTTTTGACTCTGTTTCTCTTTGCTTGGCATTCCCTCCACCCAGAGTACCATCCTTCCTCTGCTCATCATAACACACCCTCTTAGACTCCCCAGGCACTGAGACAATTTTTGAGTTGTAACATTTCACACACGGGCTTGACAGTTGGGTTATAAATCTCCCCCGGTCGCTTCCAAACTGCTTGGGTGCAGCAGCTGTGGCTGATACATCTTTGAAGTCCTTTGCAAGTTCATCTTACTCATCTCCAGGTATAGAGCCTAGCACAGTTTCTGACACAGGAACTGTTAAATGAATGGTAACCTGATAAAAATGATGACCAGGAGTCTGCTAAAGGAAAGTCCATAGTAACAATAGCTTGTTCTCACTGCACACATTCTGGGGCGAGAGCTGGATTAGGCTACATAAATGATTTAGTTACTCCTCACGACAACCTCAGGATGTAAACACTGTTATTTTCTCCATTTAACAGATAAAGAAACCAAGGCTTAAAAAATTAAAATAACTTCCCCAAGCCATCCGCTAGTTAAATGGTGAGGATCTGAACCCTAGGCTGTCCCACTCGGGGGGCACAAATATGTGACCAGTGTCTTATAGTATCCAGTCAATTCTCATAGAGTCAAGATCCCAGGCAGGTCCACAGAAATTCACATGGCTGATAAGAATGGGACCAAGATCAAATCACAGCATGGCTTGTTTTATTTTTCACCTTCTCTAGATATTAATGGCCTTACCCTAGATTTTTATGAAATTAACCGTAATTTTAGCCACTAAAGTCCTCTTCTGAGTACTGGAAATACAGATTCAAGTTCAGTATCAAAGGCTGCTAGATACATCATTGGTCCAATCTCAGATTGTCACAAAATCCAGCGTTCTCTGTTTTTCCCAACCACGGCCACAAAGTGTTGACCCTGAGGACTCAGCTCTGTCTATTCCTGTACAGATGGAGGAAGCCAGCAGGGTCACAGGTTATGACCCACAAGAAGTGGCGTCTACAATTAGTATCGCTGCTTTGGTGTGTATTAGATGTTGAGTCCTACCCGGGAAACCTTCATTCCTAATCACTGTGGGTGCTTCCTGGTCCACAGAAGAGGGCCTTGTGTTTGTTTTCCTGCTCAATGTTCCTGCTCCCCAGATGAAACTGGCACGGTGCCTCAAGTTCCAGTCCCACTTGCTTTAACAGTCTGCCCAGCTCTTTCCAGGGTCCATTCTAGGGGTGCCAATATGCCCTGACCTCCTTTGCCTTTGCCTGACCTAGAAATGTTGCCTGAAGGCTTATATCAGACTGAAATGACTACCCAGAGCTCAAGTACGAGCGTGAACATTGCCTGGAAATTCTCGTCACTCTGTCCATCAATATTTACCCCTCTCCCCGACAACACACACATAGAATGCACTACATTTGGGCATTGTAATTAAGTCACCCATACCCAGTTTCATACCTATGTTTGGACCCTTTTATTTACATTTTTTTTTCTTCTTCCCGATGAGCCCACATTTGCTAACATCCCAGTATGTCTTAAAGAAGAAGATTACACAGTTCACAAAAGAATCACACTCTCAGGACCAGAAAGGACCTCAGAGGTCATTTGTGAGAACCCTTCCTTCAGCCATCACAACTATTAAGAGAAATGTTCAAACAAACCAAAACCAGACCACTGTGAAGTTTAAAAGGAGAAGTGGGGATCCGTGCAGCATATAGTTCTGTAAAAGTGGACAGTCAGTTCTATTTTAGAACCTAACAGAACATAGAAAAACTCACTGGGTACATGGTATGTTGGGTATGCCTTAGACCATGTACACACTCAAATATCTCAGCATTCTCAAATAATCCAAATTTCTAGGCACGGCATTCAAGATCCCCTTCAATGTGACCCATTTTACCTTGCTAGACTTAATCTCTCAGTTGCTTGCTGGTTCCAGAAGACCCATCTGCATTTCTTCCTTTGTCCTTTTCTCACTCCAACTAGTATGCCCTTTCTCCTCCCTGATCTGGTTGACTAAATCCTCTCCATTCTATCAGACTTGAGAAACACCTATTTCCTCTGAGGATGTTTGGGCTTCGGTATTACCAATGCCACACATGAAGTAACCTCTCATTCGCATCCAAGTGGTGAAAGAAGTCATGAACTTTGCAACTTTTCATAGCTGTGCCATCCAATACAATTTTCACTAGCTACATATGGCGACTTGAATTTAAATTAACTAAATAATCAAATCACTAAATTACTTAAATTAATTAAAAATAATTAAAATGAAGTAAAACTGAAAATTCATTTCCTTGGTCACACTAGCGACAGTTCAAGTGTTCAATAAGCACATGTGGTTAAGGGCTACCAAATTGGACCATGTAGGTATAGAATAGTTCCATCATCTAAGAAAGTTCTATTGGACAGAACTGATCCACAGAATGATGGGGCTAAGAGATAACCTTATCCAACCCTTTTGAGTTAGGTGAGGATCCTTGAAAAAGCTATGTCATTAAAAAGCCTTACCCCCAGTACTTACTCCGTGGTACATATATACACCAAGGGCATAGAAGAAACCCACAATGCCAAGGAAGGCCAGGAACACTATAAACTTGAAGGCATCGTTGTATAGCTTGAAGTTCAGAGGTCGGGGATAGAGGATGGATCTCACCAAGTCCCCTTTGGCAGTATTGTAACCTGCATGAAGGTAATCACAGGTGGAGTAAGTTCCCTTAATACAGTTTACCACGAAACCCAAAATAATTTGCATTGAATTAAGGATTGGTTAATAGTGTCATTTGAATATGGAATGAAGACATCACTGCAAACAGTATATTTACATTTATTATCCCTACAAGTCACTAGGAACAATAAGTGGTATTCACTTAACCTTGTTCAATTTCTCTTGCTCTGGAAGTCAGTGCTACAACGGCTCACACAGTGAAGCTCCTCACTCATGCATAAGATTGAGGAAAAGAAGACTGAGGACTGACAGACACAGTCACCAGAGAAGACGAGCGGCTAAGAGAAGACATTAAAGCTCAAGTATGTGTTGAAAATAATAGAAAATGAAGACAAAAGGAAAGCACAAAACAAGTAATTTCTTAAACACATATACCTCTGATCATGTCATTCTTATGCCCAAACACCTTCCAGAACCCCTGATTTTTTGCAATAAAGTTAAAATTTCTAGGCACGGCATTCCAGATCCTGTCAACCTCAGTATACTCCTATGTGGCTAGACTTATCTCTTCACTGCTCGCTGCTCTCAGAAAACCCCAAAGCAGTCCTTCTTTTGTGATTTGCAGAAATAGATTAGCATGTTTTGTTAGCTTTCTGCTAGGACTGGCTAAATCTTTCCCATCCTATCAGGCTTGGCTCAAAATGCCGCCTCATCAAATAAATATTTCCAGAGTTCTACTCCCACACTTCCTATCAAAAATAATTTCTCCCCCTCTTTGGGGGTCCCTGTAACACTTAATCATGTGACATCTATCATTGCTCTGTGTTTAGTTAGCTCTAACTCCACACTGTTTCCTGCACCAGACCACAATCCCCTTTAAGGGCAAGGAATGTCTCCTAATTTTTTTCTTTAGCCCTCAGGGCATGGCACTTAGTAGATCTTCATTAAAATCTAAGTTATTGGCAACAAAAGGAGGGCTACTAGATATGAACCACTGTTGTATGAAACATGCCTTAATCCCACTGCTTGGTAAACATATAGTCTCCTCAAACATGGCTTTGTAGGCTTTGGAGAAAAAGAGCAGAGTTTTCTCTAGCTTGTTGTCTCAGCATTTTACAAGCTCAGATAAGGTGGTTCCCATGATTTCCATTCATTAGCTCATGCCCACTGACCCCTTTGAAGCAAAACTTGATATTTTTAATTTTAAAAAATCAGGTAGAACAATTGAATCATAAGCTAACACATAGAGACAACAAAGTGCAAGGTGGGTTTTGGATCTGTGCATATGTGGGCTGGCAGAAACACAGGTCAGGGGTAGTGTTGGTTGTGTGATGTCCTGTGAAAGACCAGGAGTAAGATTAGTAGTCTTGAAAACTTTTTGAGCATGGTGTGTGTAAACTGCTTCAAAATCTGCTTTAGAAATATGACTTGGTGGCAGATCCAGGGGGAGGTGGAACAAAAGACAAAGCAAAGTATTTGAGGCAAAAGCTGAAAGGGACCAGTCAAGAGAATATTTCTGTTGCAATGGTTAGACAGGAGATGATGAAAGGCCTGGACAAAACACCAACTGTGGGGATGAAGGAAAGGGAGACAAGACTCAGGAGGTATTTGTAGAATTGACAGGATGTGGTGTCCTACTTGGTACGGGAGAAAGTGGGAAGCTAAAGGTGATGTGGACAGACCGGCTAGATGGTGATGCTGTCGACAGAAAGAGGAGGATAAGTCCTTTCGATGCCTTGACTTTGAAGTGTCTGTAGGGAACCCAGAGGGAGGCATCCAGCAGGGACCTGGAAATAACAGCCCAGCAAGCAGCAGTTTGAAAGGAGAAAGTCCTCAAGTGATAATGGTTGGAACTTTTTTCTTGGGAATCACTTAGAGTTGGTATAGAGGGAAAAGGAAAGACATAAAAAACAAACAAACAAGAACACAGTCTTGCCTTTGAAGCAATGTATTTCATCTCTGTATCATCAATGTATTTCATCTTAGACAAGGGTTTTAACAATGAACCAGTGAGGTTGGAAATGGTGGCAACTTAGAATAAATAAGGATCTGACTAGAAACAAGTATGACTGTTATTACCAGAAGGTGGCAAACTCCATAATCCTAAACCAAATTTCCCCAATCCAACTCCCCCACCTCTAAGCAGGGACTACATTTACATAGGTGGAATCTACTAACCTGTTCGCAAAACAACTGCTCTCACTGGCCCCTGCCCAGACGGCTTGACCTGGATAACTTCTGTCCCGCAGAAAAGGACATGTTTCCGATAGTCCTCCAAGCTGTGGGATTTCCAGGCCACGGTGTTCTCCGTATGGGGCAGTGGCGTCTTTGTGACAGGTATGCTTTCTCCTAAAGAAGATTGTATTTTGTTGATTCTGTGTGAACTCAGGTAGTTATTCAGAGCTGGTGCTTGACACTTTTGACAAAGTATACAAACCATAGCTATTCAGGTCTTAATGCCCATTTCCTGGGTCAGATGATTTCTCAAGGATGCTGGCGAAGCAAGCAGTGGTATACTTGGTTATATTTTACATATTTATTTAAGGTCCACCTATATTTTCCATACCTGGTCTGCATGGTTTACTGTTGTAATTTAAAAAGCAGGCCATTTTAACAAAGATAGTTGTCACCTAATTGTCCCCTCAAGTGTTCTTTAAGCCCAAATTTATGCTAGGTAATTAAGGAGCTATAAAGCAAGTATATAGCTATTGTTATTTGCCTTTCGTTTAGTTTATCAACCCATTCATCCATTCACTTGACAAATATTTTTAAGTGCTTATTTTGTGCCAGGCACTGTTCTAGGTGCTTAAAATAATGAACAAGACAGAAATCCTGCCCTCAGAAAGCCCAGGGAGTCAAGCCAGTAAATAGCAGTAAATAAATGATTAAAGTACAATAAAGTAAGGATTTGGGTAGTATTACTGGGTGATCTGAAGATCTAACCCAAACAGAGGACCAGGAAACATTTCCAGAACAACTAATAAATGACAACTCAAAAGGAAATGAGGCCAACTAGATCAAGGAGGAAAGGAAATTGTTCTTGGAAGAAGTGAGAGAAAGATCATGCTGTGCCCTGGGCACTAAAAATGGTTGAGAATGTTTGGGACATTGAGTGTAAGGGTAGAGGTAAGCAGTCCTAGAAGTACAGAGATGAATGAGAAATTATGCCTTCATAAACCTCTTAAATGTTCTTCATGATCTTTGTGGAGCTTGCAGTGAAAGATAAAAACCAATATAACAAGACAGGGCCTCTCTTTTTTCTTTCTAGATGATCTCAGCTCCATTCTCATTAATACATAATTAATTAATTAACAATTAAAGTGTTAATTAACAATTAATTAAATAGCTAGATCGATAATGTCTAATCTTCATTTCCTCTCTCCTGTGCTTTTGTTCTGTTTCCCAATGGTGGGCTGTTCATCCCAACCTGGATATCCCACTAGCATCCCTAAGTCCACATACCTAAAATCCATACTAATATTTTGTTTAATTTTTATTTTACTTATTTTTGAGAGATAGAGTGGGGGAGGGTCAGAGAGAGAAGGAGAGAGAGAATCCCAAACAGGCTCTGCGCTGAAAGCCCAATGCGGGCCTTGAACTCACAAACCGGGAGATCATGACCTGAGACACAATCAATAGTCGGATGCTTAACTGACTGAGCCATCCAGGCACCTCCGTACTAATATTTTTACCACTAAACATCCTCCTGACTTTTTCTTTGTGGTATCATCCTTTTGCTGAGTGACAGGTTTACAGTCTCGGAATCACCTTTGATTCCTCCTCTTCCCGTGCTCTGCCCTCTCATGATCTGATTCCCCAATTCCTAACTGCTTTTCTCCATGAGTATGTCTCACCAAGTAACTCTTGGACTCTTGCGTTTGGGTCCCAAGGGCTTCACTAGCAATCACTATCTAGTGGTGGCTGCCTTACCAATGGATTGCCTATAATTGTTTAGCTCCTTGACATGAAAACCATTTCAATAATAATAATTTGAGTCTATGGTAGAACTAATATTTCTTTTTTGTGAAAAAGTATCTCACCCACAATATGCCTTGACCTCTTGAGTTGGAAAAGACCTCCAGTCCTTCCTCCTATGTGTCTCCTTTGCTATGAGGCCACTACTGCACTCACACACTCTTGATGCCGTATGGGTGGGGTTTTTCCCACAACGAGCAATTCCGTGACACTAGCTGGTTGTCCTACAATTCAATTCAATTCAACTCAATTCAATTCAATTCAATTCTGACACTGTCTACCTAGATATAGCATCAGATCCCACAGGTTAAGGACTCAGTCCCACAGGACTGCTCCCATGCCACCTCAGATGCTAATTGCAAATCCACATTGTCAACTGTGCTTCTGACTAATAAATCCGAGGTTCCCATAATCCCCTTCTTGGGTTCAATTAATTTGCTAGAGCAGCTTATAGAACCCAGGGAAATACTTACATTTACCAGTTTGTTAAAAGATCTGGTAAAGAATATAGGTAAATAGCCAGATGAAGAGATACATAGGGTAAGTTTTGGAGGGGTCTCAAGTGCAAACTCTTTTGGTAGATTTTTCAAAGCCACCACAATCTGAGCATCACTGGCTCTTTTTCCTACACACTCCAGCTAATCTAGGCCACTTGCATATCCTGTTATACATATATATATGTATTCTTTGATTGTACCATTCCTCTACTTCCCCTGATGGTGGGAAGACAGGGTATTTAAAGTACAAAGAAAATTAGCTCAGAGTTCAAAAGGATACATTTCAGAGATAAAAATAAAAGTGCTAATAACTTCCTCACTCCCAGATTTAAAAAGCATTAGAATGAACTTAAAATTCCATCAGTCTTTTGCTAAATGTTCAATTAGCAAAATAACATGTCATATTTCTAATTTGGAAATAGTATTCTACTGATTATAGTTACAAAATCTAGGTTCTATCTCTCCTAGGTAATAACTGGTGGCAAGGACTTTGACATATATAACTTTTTATATTCCTCATTTTCCTTGCTGGTATGTGATAGGTTGAAAAGACTTATTTTTGCTGAATGCCTGGATGAACTGAATAAAAACAATTGCCCAGGTTTTCCTATGATTGGTTTTTCAAAACTAGTTTTCTACATGGTGCATTTTTTATACCCTAAGGTGCAAGAAGCCATACAATTTTTATTAGTGATCTTGAATAATCTCAGGAAATTCCTTTAGCCAAGCATTGTCCCTAACTCATTGTCTTTAAAAATTATGATATTTAGCCTTTGTTTGATATTTAGCCTTTGTTTGGATTTACCACTTGTGTTCTAAGTGGCTTTGGAAAAGGGATAGGACATTTTGACAAATCATCATACCACATTGTTTTGAAATCTACCTTTGTGAAAGCAGATACTTAGAGATAATTTCTAATGTTTTTCTGCCTAGGAATCACTGAATATTAATCCATTATATATTCATAGACTAATATTAGTGGATAGTTTCTGCACACACAACCAATGACATTCGTGGCAGGCAGACATTCAATCAACCAGGGATGGAAGCCATTTGGAGATAATGTTCCAAAGATAACATTGAAATCAGATATGATTTTACACAGAAATGACTTTCAAGTCTCTTTTACACTGCTCACATATTAATAAGGAGCCTCATGCTTGGCCTTTCTTGGAATCTCAAGAAAGGGCAATTTGCCTACAAATCTATGGAGTTCTAAGTAGCCCGGAGAGTGTTTCACAAGGAAAAACATTCATCATCCACTTCACCTGGCTTCTACGACCCGGAAGTCCTGGTGCTGTGAAGCGGGATTCTCTCCCTTGTCCCCAGTGAGCCAGTGCCTCTGCATGGAAGCAGTGTTTGAAATGCCATGCCATTCTTTGTTTTTACTTCTGAGGCCATTAGATTGTGAGCTGTGTAAGGGCAGTGGCCATGTCTCATTTGTCTTGGTGACTCCAGCACACAACACAGTGCCTGGCGCAGAGGAGGCATTTCTGAACCTTTACTGAATAAGTGGATGGGCAAATGAATAACTGAAAGAAAAAGGAGAAGTGAGAGACTGGAGAAAAGGAAAAGGGAAGAGGGAAAAGACTTATTAACTCATTATAAACTTGTCGGACGGATGTAAATGGGAAATCACCACTTAGGAAAATTTCTGTGTACCCAACTGGGATCTCTGCATACTTCCCCCCACCGCACACACACGTTTTAAATACATCGTTGATTCTATGAGTAGAGGGAGAAGGAGGGGATTGTGGCAGAGTGAATGAATCCTGCCACTCTCCGCCATAATCACCTCTAAGAGAATGAGGGAGCAGTAGTTTCAAGCATAGGCTCCCAGGTCAAAAGGCCTGGGTTTGAGTGTTTTATCTTCTTCATAGAATTTATAAGCATTGGAAATTCATGTCATTTACCTACTTTCATGTTTCCTTTGTCCCCACTAGAACATCACCTCTATGAGGACAGAATATTATCTGCCTTGTTCACTGTTGTATCCCTAGCACATAGTAGAGCATTCTGGAATAGGAGCTAATATACATTTGTGGAATGAATGAATGAATGAATAAACAAATGAATCCAAATAGCAACTCTACCACTTTTAAGCTGTGTGACTTTAGGCCAATTACTTATCCTTTCTGGCCCTCAGATTCTCCCACCTTATAGAGTCATAGGTTGAATGAAATAATATATGTAAAATATTAGCACAGTGCCTAATACATATAAGAAATAAGAAAAATTAGCTTTTGTGCCAAAAGAAAGTTTCCAGGCATTAACATAATTTCCCCCCCCCACAGTATTCCCTTTTACCTCTTGACCACTTTGTGAGGAGCTAGATCTTGAAGGAACCCATTGCCTCCAGAGGCAGAAAGGATAGAGAAGTTGATAGCTGGCTTCTGGGTTTTACACATCATTCGTAAGTTTGACCATGAATTTTAGAGACTACATGAGAATAAGAACAAAGCTCTCCCGTTCACCTGCCTTCCTTCCACTACTTTTCTAGCTACATAAAAATCCCTAGATTGGGAGTTGGAAGAAAATCCAAAGGAAGCTTAGATGTTGTGTGTACTTGAGAGAAGGGGCCGGCACAAAAGTAAGGTAAGGAAAAGACCCTAGAAGTTTGTGAAAACAGAGCAAGAGGCATCAGTAGGCCTCCTTTTACAGGGAGATAGGCTGGGGACAGTTTTCAAGCCCAGAGCAGAGTGGAAGCAACAGAAAGGAGGGCTGCCCTAGACCAGACCCACCTCCCCAGTGCCTTGCACAACTTCAAGTAGCCAGACTTGAGTCAGGAGACCTGCCAACTGGTGGAGACAACTGTCTGACTTGGATCAGATACTTTGCAACACTGCTTACTTTCAAGGATGGCAAGATTTGGAGGAAAAATTAAAAAGTAAGTGTAGTTACACGATTACGTTTCTTGCATAGTTGAGCTTATGGCAGTAGGACGAGGCTAAGGAGAGGAGGATGAAGAAGACCCTACAATGGATGTGTGTTATGGGCAAGACTACCCAGTGGAGAGAAAAAGATGAGGAGGCACAAGGAATGTCAGCTCTACCCCTCTTAGAATCTGCTTCCTCCTCACTCCGGTGACCCCTCACGTCTGGGAGCAAAAAATACCACCTCCAGCCCTGATACTGGCTAGCTGGGCAGTCTGGTCCCTTCTCACCTGCATTTCCTCATTTGTAAATTGGGCATTATAATAATTCCTAATTTGTTTATCCTATGATGAAGTGAGATATAAAAATTATTTATAAAACATTCATTGCTCTAAAGATGTTTGGAGTATTTGCTATTTCTCTTCTAAATAAAGACTTCTATATATACGAAAGACTGGTTTGCACATGGGACAAAAAAAAAAAAAAAAAAACCCAAAAAAACAAACAAACAAACAAAAAACCTGAGTCACATTCTTGGACAAATGCTCGAGGAAGACATATGCAGTTTCAGGAATCTAAGCATAATCTTATTGTTCAATCAGGATCCTTTTTGCAAATGTATACGTGAGTGGGCAGATCTATGTAGACTATGTAATAAAGTATTTAGAGTATGATGGTCTTAGATCTTTCCAAAGAAAACAATGAGAAAGAAATATATTTCTGTTTTATGTGTCTGTCTCTAAAACGGATTTTTACCAGTACATAGTTTACACAGATATTAATGCTGGTGACCTTCTTTTTCTAGAAGTAGACCTAAGAAAAGCCACTCACTACTTAAGATCATTTTAGGTCAGTTTTGCACATTGAAAGGCAGCTTTGTTTGCCATCTCTACCATTTCTTTCTCTGAGTTTTCCTCAGAAGTAAGGCAAGAACCAAGCATCCCAGTCAGTAGACCCAGCGGAGTAAACACTGGGATCTCTCCTTCCCTTTTTTCTCACAGCCATGCTCTGTCACCAATGAGAGAAGCCATTCTTCACTGGCAGGCTGCTGGGAAATGTGAGACAGTTGCTGTCTTTGGTTTAGGAGGCCAGTTTTTCTTGGGCTTGAGGTTTGCACGTTGGGTGCTATGGCAACATTCCGGAAGAAAGATATCATCAGTATGCAAATCCTCATCACTATCATTATAAGGCAGTTAGATTTCAACACACTAAAGGGGCATTTTGTAATTATACCGAGCATAGTTATGTTTACTACATTTCCTTGTCTCAATTTTAAATTAAGCAGGCCCATTTTTAATGTGAAATCTGCTTGTGTTGAACAATTTAAGAATCGATGGTTCTCTTTACATTTAGGTGATATTAAAAAGGTGTGTGTGTGTGTGTGTGTGTGTGTGTTTCCTGTCTTTAGCAACTTGGGAACAGAAAAATACAACAATTTGTAAGCACGAAAGACACACACTTTCTATTTTTGTGTTGTTGTATAGTTTCTTCTCTCATCATGATGTCCCATGTGTTTTGGTTTTGCCTAAAGAATATTTTATAAATAGTGCCTTACTAATTACACAAATTCAAATGAACTTTACAAAGCGCAAATGAGAGCAAGGACGACAGTTCAAACCGTTGTTACAAGAAAACTGGCTTTCTGCTTGGTCGGATCAACTGGAAACACAATTCTAAAGAATAGAATGTTACACCGACTTTCCTGAAGGTTCAACTCAATACTCTTCCAGCAAAAACTGGGGCTCCGTTTTCCATCTACAGAGAGCAGGGCTGTATAAAATCTCTGCATCCTGCCAATTATAAGAGTTGGTGGTTTCTGGTTGTGTTCTGTTTGGATAGGTGTGTAAACCATGCTCATGTTTATGAAGACATCGTGCATCAAGTAGTCTAACTCTCTCACCGTCCTCTGAACCAAAGGATCTTATTCACCCCATGCATCAGGAAATTAACCAATCACATATATTAGACTTTTCTTCTAATTTTGTATTTATTATCATTTGATTCTTATATTACGGGTATACATTATATAAACGGGATACATTTTATCCCGTTTGCATTTATGGAGTCTTCACCTGCATGAATAGCCTAGCCGTGTCTACCTCACCTGTCTTTCCATATCTTACTATCAGGCAGGTAAGGCTATGTTGATCTGCTTTGCTCTTGGCCGAGATGTTGGACAGGAAAGAAGCAGCTCCATGGCAATGGCCTACCTGTGAGCATGCCTTCAGTCACCACACAGCTTCCATCAATCAGGATAGCATCACATGGCAATGAAGTTTTTCCTGGAAGAATAAGAGTATCCCCAGGAACCAAGAGATGGGATTCCAGCTTCTGCAAACCTACACAACAAAGTTCCCGTGACTGGCTGACCTTTTCCTGTTTTTACTTAAGAATGGGGGAAGGGGAAAAAAATAAAAAAGTTACAGAGAGGGAGGGAGGCAAACCACAAGAGACTCTTAAATACTGAGAACAAACTGAGGGTTGATGGGGGTTGCAGGGGAGGGGAAAGTGGGTGATGGGCATTGAGGAGGGCACTTGTTGGGATGAGCACTCGGATGAGCCCTGGGATGAGAACTGGGAGGAGGGCACTTGTTGGGATGAACCACCCAGCCAGTTTCTGCTACTCTGGGCTGCAGCTCCCTGCTCCTTACAGAGAGCCATGGCCACCCCAACCCAGGGTAAGTCAGAGCAAATACTGAGTCCAGTCAGCCATTTACAAGCATTCTTCGGGTCTGGATTCTGGATAACAGATTGAAGTGTTAGAATTCAAGGTCTGTTTGGGATCAGTAGTTGGGGAAATCAAAACGCCTCAAGAAAGCTTACCCAGTAACATTGCAGTGAGTGAAATATGGGAAGGCAGAGGGAGTTGGAAGCGACTCAGACACTGGGTCAAAATGGTTCAATCAGGAGGAGGCATGCAAGGTACTCAGGGTACAAAATTCAGTGAGGTGCTCACCGTCTGGGTCCTGGAAAAGCAGGTCAGCGTTTGCCTGACCTTTCCTCCTTAAGTTTGTCATCTTAAAAGTCTTATTTACCTTACTTTAGCCTCCGTCCTGGGTTTCATCAGAAAAGGTTTTCTCCTCAACTAATAATCAATAACAAATGGGACTGATTCCACTCTGAAATATCAGGATGCTGAAGATGGCAGAATATATCACGTACCTTTGTCCTTTACCATGACTGTAACCTGGACTTTGTTGTGATCCTCCACAAGGTTGTGCAGCTTCACTGATTGCTACCAATTCAAAGTCAACGTTTAAGTATCAGATAGTCCATAACCGGAAAACCACATGATCTCAATACTGTAAATACCAAGCCTGTCACACAGCAAAACCTCCTTGGGCAAAGGCTCAAGCTCTACTTTAGCATTTCTGCTTCCCTGCCCCAATCCCTACCGCAGCCAACCCCCGACTTATAGCAACAAATATGGTAATTAGTTTAGTGCTATTTCAATTCCAGGACACATAATGCACAACCACTGTCCCCAAGGACCAACGCTAAGTCCCCGAGGTTGTACTTCTTAAGGGCGCACGATGACACAAGGGAAGAACAAGACCATGAACAGATTAGGTTCCCTCTCGGTACCCGTTTCCCTGTCTATAAAACAACAAAAATGAATTTGATCTTTCCATTGTAAAAGCCTGGGAATATTTGAGTTATGTTTTGATTTTACGTGGAATTTTATCCCCTTTTTTACAAACTGGTGGATTTTCCCATTGGGTCAGTCTGGAGACTGAAGCCACGATGCTCCAGAACCCTAGTGCTTACCCTTAGGCATTATTCAGCTTAGTTAACTCCCTTTTCCTGATCTGAAAGTGGAGATATTAACAGTAGCTCTTCTAGAGGGTTTTCAAAATTTAAGTAATGCTTCTCTTAGTTATCCCTTTGGATATTACTCATTACGATGGTAAGAGCTCAGCAAGGGTTAATGATTAATAAGAAAGTTGCTGTTGGAAAAACAGCATTGTTTTGTCTAATGCATCCCCTTGGAAGATTTGCTTAGGATGGAATTCACTGAGATACCACCCTGTGCTAAGTGGAGGAAATGGAAGCAGCCTGGAGAAGCGAAGGCAGCATCTACTGGGATAACTCAGGAGACAGGAAGGCAGAAGAGTGAGGGCAAATTGTCCACACAGTTCCATACACTGACTGTAGGCGATGCCATTGGCAGGGGCATCCCTGGAAGGCACTGCCTCCTTCTGTATGGACGTTACTTACTTGGATACTTTTAAGTAGAAGAGATCTGAATACCGTCAACAGTACTTTAAACATAGCTTAACCTAATTCAAGTATAAAACTTTCCCTTTTAGATGATAGGGTAAATTATTTTTATCTGCCCTCTTGATGATTTTTAAGGTAGCCAATGTCACTAGATAAACATTACACACAATTACACAATTTTCCTCTTGAGAGAAATTAATAAATTTGGTGTTTCTGTTTATACAGAACAATTTCTTATTTACTCCATTTTTTTTTTTTTTTAGGAAAGGCAACACTTCAATCATTTGGACCAACAGAGTGGAAGAAATGGTACTGCTGTTTGTTAGGTACATAGTCATTGCCCTAACTTGACTTTCTGAGGCTTGCCTATTGGGGCATCCATTTTACTGATGGGTAATAGCGAGAAAGTCAGCGTGGTTCTGGGACAAGAACACTGGATTCATTCAGGACTCCTGAGTCGTGGGTCAAGTTTACCCACTAACCAGCCATGTACCTGTATGTAAGAAATTTCACTTTATGTTACTTGTTCTTTCTGTAAACAAATGACATTGAATTGAATCATTTTCAAGCTCCTTCAAAACTCAACATGTCTGATACGGATATGCTTTGCATATCAGAGATTTAGTCAAAGCCCCTAAGACTTCATAGAAGAAATAACCTGGGGTTTATAAATGGCTCACAGTATTATTATTATTAGACAGTTTAAAACAGTAAGCAACTACTACGTGCCAGGCACTGTTGTAAGCACTTGAAATGTATTGCTTGATTTTTTTTTTCTCCTCAAAATAATCCTATGATGATGTTATTGTCTCCAATGTACATATAGCAAAATAAAGCGACCAAAAAGAAACAAAAAACAAAAAACAAAAACAAGCCAGGGTCTTGGAAATGTTAAAGTAACTTGTCTTCAATCATTTACTTACTAAGTATTAAGATTGACAGTAAAACCTGGGTTTATCTGACCCTAAAGCCTTTTCTGTTGATGAATATGTTCCCCTAAAGTGCTTGAAAATAGCTTTTTTCCTTTAAGAAGATAAATAACCTTCCTTTGTTATAAATTTCTTTAAGTTACTTTCTTGCTTAGCAAACTCTTCTAGTCACTGCCATGAGAATTTCACCCTAGCTTTAGAGGATGATAATCAACACATTTGGAAGTGGCGAAGTATAAGTTCAAAATGCTCTCTCAAAAATCATTATGGCATCAAGCTGGATTTATTCATCAGGTTTAGCATTCTGCGAAACCTGCCATGCTTCCATGCCTTCGTTCAAGCTATTACCTGGAATGCTCACCCAGGTTTTCTACCAGCAAACTCCTAATCCTTCACATAAAGTCTGGCTCAAACGTCATCTCCACTCCATAAGTCTCTAACATCTCAGAAAGAATTCATTGTTCTGCTCCCTGTGTTTCCGCCTGTATTAGTGTATGACCAATTCCATTACAGCCGTTTTCTTGTCAGGTCTCCTGTGTGAAGCAGGTGGTTCAAAGAGCCAAACACTCATCTATGTACCCCTGGAGTCTGTCACATAGTAGGCCCTCAGCAAATACTTAATAGAACTGAATTATTTCACGTCTCCCAACAACACTGGAGAAGGATAATATAAGCCTCCTCTCTGAGCTAATGTACCCAGAAACTCTACAAACACAAGTTTCTATGACAACCAACCAGCTAGGAGAAAGCAGGTGCTATGATGCTTGCCGTGATTTGGAAGCTCGCTGCCTGATTTTCATTAGGCTCCCTCTGGTTGGTTTCTCCAGTCCCGGTTTAGTGGGACCAGGATCAGTTTCCAAGACTAATTTGCATATTGTTATTATTCCGGCATCTGTTGCTGTGTGTCCTTGTGTTTGCTGTGGCTGGATTTCCTCCAGAGATGAGTAATGAGGGCACTATCTCAGGTGTATTTTGAGCCCAGCTCAGTGATGGCGAAAGGCAAGGCACCATGGGTCAGATACTCTCAGTGCTATGTCTAGCGGCCGCCTGTGGAGCCAGCAATAGAGTATGCAACATGGCTCAGTGTAAATACAGTTGAGTGCCAGCTCAATTTACACTCATACCTGCACCAAACTTGTTAGAAAGGGGCTGCCGAGGGTGTTTCTTGGCGTAGGCAAGGTGCCTCTCTCTTTGCTGCATGATTTGGGGCCACAGTAGATGCAGAAAGATAGTTTATTCCACTCCTGCAAACACCTCCCCTCTTGCAATTTTCAAAAGCTGTTATTTCTTTAGCATGATTTATAAATGACGGTAGATGCTCCTTCCATTTCCAGCAGCCCCTTTCCCAAATATTTTCATAATAAAATTATCAATCGTTTACTGCTGCAAGGAAACTCATAGGTCTCTTTGAGATTTTGCTCCGTGGGACAGTGTGAAGTACTTGATGTAGAATCAGGAAACCCGGGGCTGGGATCTATAGCCACTATTACTGAGCAAGTCACTTCACCTCCCTGATTGTCCCCATCCCTCCGTCTCAGGTGGTGGGAGGACACCACAACCACATGCGTATCATTTTAGGGGCTCCCATGCCCCACACAAGCACATCTGTCACAGACGGGGGGAGCCCGTTACAAATTGTGCTAAAGAAATATTGATTGGTGAGCATTTGTGATTTAAACTGCAAAAATAGTTTCAGGAAACTGGCCCATTTTGTATAATGTTACAAGATCCCTTAGAGTTTGGGTCTGATAAGCTTTTGTTAACAAATATTAACTGCAAGGCACCTGGGTGGCTCAGTTAACAGTCCGACTCTTGGTTTCGGCTCAGGTTATGATGTCACGGTTTTGTGGGTTCAAGTGCCCCATCAAGCTCTGTGCTGACAGCTTAGACTCTGCTTGGGATTCTCTGTATTTCTCTCTCTCTGTCCCTCCCCCCTCACACTGTCTCTCTCTCAAAATAAATCAATAAAACTTAAAAAAAAAAAACCCAAATATTAACTGCTAATGGAATTAATGTCTCCTTGTTAAAGCTTTTGCAGTTCTGCCATCAAGTGAAGTTCCCAGGCCAGTTACTATTTTAAACAAAGACATGTAGGGATTTTAAGATGTAGAACCTGAATATTTAAGATTCATTAAAGATTTTAAAATAAATATTGAGAAAATTACAAATAGAACAGAGCATGCCTACTTTTAGAAGAGAACTTGAGAAGCAAAACAAGAAACGCAGAAACCCAGAAAAAGAGAAACATATTTGACTGCACACATTTTAAAATATCTGACAAAAGTCAAGTCAGAGGAAAAATGATAGACTAAGAAATAAAACGTTTCCACGTGGATGATGGATATAAAGAGACAATAAATAGAAAACAAAAATGCATATATCTATTGGAAGAAAGTGTATCTAATCTCACTAATAATTAGTGGAATATAAATTAAAACATCATTGGGACACAATTTTTTAAAAACACATTAGACTGAAAAAAATTTAAACATCAATATATAACACTGGTGAGGATCTGGAGAAATGGATACTCTCATATGTTGCCGTTATTTTATTTAAGAAAATAATAACTATCGCAGGATCTATTAACATCCAAAATATACATATCTTTTGATTCAGCAACCTGGCTTTTGATTATTTTACTAAAAACAAATGCAAACACTCATATGTAAGGACACATCTATATTGTAGTTGTGTGTAATTCAGCATATCTGTGGTGGCAAAAATTGGAAAGGAAGCCCCTTATTTTCTAGAAATAAATGAATGGCTGAACAAATTATGATATACCATGGAATTTCACACCGTTATTTTTAAACGTGATCTAGAATTATTTATTTACGTGGTAGATGGCCGTTATATTTATTGTAAAGTGACAAATGCAAGTTCCAGATTAATGTACAAAGTATGTTCCTGTTTTATTAAAACAAATTAATAAATACATAAGTAAATCTCCACATAAACTTGTATTTCTCTGCATCTTATAGAGGAGAAAAAATGAAATAGACATTTAGCTAATGATGACATAAATAAATAAATGTATTGGGGATCTTAGTGCTTGAATTTGTCTTTTGGTGGATTCCTCTGGAACAACAGCTCTTAAGCTTTCAGATTGCATGACAAGCACCTGTTATGAAACTGTGAAAAAGCACAGATTCCTCTTGTTACCTTGGATATTTTGACTTAATGGGTCAGAAGCTTAGGAATCTTGACTAATTCTCTCACTGAAACATTGCCCTCTAGCGTATTGAATCAAACCTGTTTTCTCTGTAACCCTTCCCAACTCTCACACAGGAATCTCTATATTTCTTTTCCGTTTCCTTAAAGACAGTTATGCCTACGTTCCAAATGAAAAAAAAAATAGTGTAAAGGAACTTGAGGAGAGACTGAAATTTGTCATAAACATGTAGATGGGAAGTATATATTTAAGTCAGGGGAAATATGTGGAAACATTGTAAGGGGTGTAACACATCAAGTGGTAGCACCACATTTACTTGGGACCCATTGATTACAGGCAACAGAAATTGGTTAAACTGGTTTAAGCAGATGAGAAATTGTGAAGATGCAGGGACATCTCACTAACCGAAGGTGGGAAGTGAAGCCAGAGCTCCCAAGGGCTCCAAACAGGAGCAGGAAATGCTATGAAGAGCAGGTTATTCGTTTGCTCTCTGTCTCTCTGCCCTCTCCCTTTCTGCTGGGCTCCGTATGGCTCACCTCTGTGTCTCACTGTGTATTTGGTTCGTTCTTTGTGCAAGTTTTTTTCTCTGCTTGTCCACACACAAGGATCAAGGGTTGCCACCCTGGTCCTAGCATCACTTTTCACATCACATTCCTGACAGAGCATGACAGACAGCTTCAAGTCCTTAGGCTTGGATCCCAGGCTAAAAGATATATGGGCATGATTCCTGCTGATGGACTGGCTTCCGCTGGGTCAGATACCCCCTGTTCCAACTATGTGTGCCAGTGGAAAGAGAGAGCCACCTAGAGCAAACTAGTTGCAGGCTGCCAGAGTTCTAAGAGGAGGGGGGTTTGCAGTGCTTGCCCCAAAACATGTGTACTTACTTTCATGCTTGTCAGGGAATAGGAGGCTGGAGAGAGTAACCCAAGTTCATGAGTACAGGCTCCATTAAAGTCCACTGTACTTCATGTCTTTGGGTCCTATGAGCTACTGGTACATATTTATAATACATATCCCTTTGATGATTAGGGTAATTTAGACAGGTTCCTATTCTTCATACACATCCTGACTTGAGTAGTTTAGGACTAAAGTCCAACTGAACACTATTAGGGTCCAATAGGAATTAACTCCAGTTTGCAGCACATGCTCTCAGATTTCCAGTGGCCAGAAAATTTCTTACTAGCGTTCTAAAGTTTTCAAGGGCTTTTTTTCATTCCTTGTCAGTGGCCCTGGCAAAATGATAGAATCCTAAAATGGTGAGACCTAAAAAAGTAGGGTATAACCTCCACCATGTATATAGCTGAGGAAAGTGAGCCCAAGGAAAACAGAGTCCTCGGGCTCATATGAGTGAACCAGCGGTTGTTACCAGCCCTGTCCCGCTGGTCCCATGCTGCCTCCTGTTCTCTTTAATCTCTGTACCCCCTCCCCCTCCCATCTGTCCCTTGCCAACTTTCCCTAACTTTTAATAATAAAAACAGCAACAGCAATATCAATGATAACAAGAACTAACATTTTACTAAGTGCCTACTAGGTACCAGAAATATAAGTATTCAAAGTGATTGTTTCATTTAATTCGCTCAACTCTAACACCAACACACACTCACGTGCCCACACACATACACACCTTCTACAGATGAGGAAACTGATTATAACAGCACCAAGTAACACAAACAGGAGAGGTAAGGGGGAGGTTTTCAATCTGACTAGATAAGATCTCCCTCCCAAAAGGCCTCAGAGAGTTCTGTGTTTTTCCTGAGAACATTTGGATGGTTCATGACGCTATATCCGAGTGACTGTGCGTAGATGTAGCCCCATTGGAAGGAACGACATGCGAGAAGGGTTGTATTCACTGACGTGTGACTTAAGCCAGAAAGTGTATGAATGGCTTGCACGTATCAAATCAGATATTCTATTAAGGAAAGATTTCTCAAAACCCAGAAACTAGAAGTTCTATCTGCGGGCTTCACATTACATACCTTTATCAAACGACTAAGGTAAAAGCTTAGGACACTCTACTTTTCTATTGAGACTCAGCAGAATAGTCAGATCTTTATTGTCTTGGTGTCTATGGTCATGCTTTTGCTCAAAGGCCCAGAGTTCACCAGAAAGACAGTTACTCCCCCCGCCCCCCCAGGCCTTGGCAACCAAGGCAAGTTGCTGGTCACTCTTAACATCTTTGTGATATAAATTAGTTTGTGAAAAAACACACCTAGGTACTCACTGTTTAAAAAGGCAGAAAACCAGAAACAAAACAAAGTCCTAGTAGCCTGCTCTCCAGCTCAAAGTATCTCCATTCATCTAACTTTTCATTTTTAGATCTTGTTTCCTAACTCTTTACATATCTATTGTCTTTCTTTCATTTCTCATCAAAGACTTCATAACTCAAAATTTGTAGGATCTAAAACCAGATAACGAGCCGATATTAAATTTAATATTGTTGAGCCACTGAAATGGAATAGGAATGAAAGCTCCCTTTCAGTTAGGCTTATGTAAAGGCCCCACGTCTGCCTTTCTGACTTGTGCCCAGAGCTCACTGTGTGGACATCGAGAACTCATCTCCCTTCTCAACACTTGTGTTTGACTTTCATTCCCAGCTGTGACACTACTTTGGAAAGTGCCTTATGCTAAGGAAATATCGCACATGTGGCAGAGTTTCATTTTATGAGGAGCCAGAAGCTCTGACTCTGTCACAAAACCACACTCTGATTTGGAACAAGCTCCCTGGATCTTAGTTTTTTTCCCTGGAGGTGAAGGATGAAACTTGAGACTAGGCGGTTTCAACAGTGCAGTAGAGTTGACAGGCTGACACAGTGTACCGTAACAATGCCCAGCCCCCAGCCCCATCTCTACAAAGCTAATTCCATAGTCAAGTTTTCAAAAACATACAAAAAATACAGTGAGACATCCTTTTTGGGGTTGCCTCCTGATTTTCAGGCTGATGATTCTTAAGCAAAGTAGCCAAACATTTTCTAGAAAGATACTGTGGGGAGCTGAGACTTGCAGGGACTGTGGAGTTATAAGTAATATTCAGCAAAATTCTATTTCAGAATGCACTGCTATCTCATTTAGAAGACTGATTATTTTGGGGCACCTGGATGGCTCAGTCAGCTGCGTCTGAATCTTGATTTCAACTCAGGTCATGATCTAGCATTTCATGAGATCAAGACCCATGTTGCCTTATTGGAATTCTCTCTCTCCCCCTCTCTCTTCCCCTTCCCTGCTCATGCTCACTTGCTCTCTCTCAAAATAAATAAACTTAAAAAAAAGACTCTTTTTAAAAAGGAAGACTTTAAATAGCTATAAGATGGGGCGCCTGGGTGGCTCAGTTGGTTAAGATCTGACTTCAGCTCAGGTCATGATCTCACAGTCTGTGAGTTCAAGCCCCATGTCGGACTCTGTGCTGACAGCTCGGAGCCTGGAGTCTGCTTCAGATTCTGTGTCTCCCTCTCTTTCTGACCTTTCCCTGTTCATGCTCTGTCTCTGTCTCAAAAATAAGTTAAAACATTTAAAAAAATTTAAATAGCTATAAGATGAACAATGATGGAAAGGTATGTTGTCATCATTAATCCATCAAAGCATTCTTTCCCACCATACTCAGATACAGCCTCGGAGTCCTTCTGAACACTGTATGCGGGTCAGCCTTCAGTCGATAAATCCGGGTTTGCAAAGACATTTACATCTACCTGCTATTTCTGAAGATCTCCTCCTGAGTTCTCACATTTAGTAAGCCCTTGTTTTTTGCTTTATGACTTAAGTTTCACAAAGCTACTCCTTGCTGTGAGTTGAAAACCCATAGGCTTTGCTTCTTGTGCACCATAAGCTAAATAGAACCCAACTGTGATTTTTTTTTTATTTTTTTTAACGTTTATTTATTTTTGAGACAGAGAGAGACAGAGCATGAACAGGGGAAGGTCACAGAGAGAGGGAGACACAGAATCTGAAACGGGCTCCAGGCTCTGAGCTGTCAGCACAGAGCCCGACGCGGGGCTCGAACCCACGGACCGTGAGATCATGACCTGAGCCCAAGTCGGACGCTTAACCGACCGAGCCACCCAGGCGCCCCCCAGCTGTGATTTTAGCTCTTACCTGTCGCAAATCATACACACTTAAGACAATGGAGATAATAGACAAGATGATGATGGCCACAGAGTATTCTATGTAACCTTGAGACAGCCACAAAGTTAGGGTAAAGGCTTGGAACACGTAGAATGGATTTAAAAACCTGCAAGTACAAAAACAGCATGTGAGTCACTTGCATGGATCACATCATTTCAAAGACATTGAAGAAGAAACAAAGAAATGGAGAAAACTTCCATGCTTATGGATTAGAAGAGCAAATATTGTTAAAATGTCTAAACTCCCCAAAGCAATCTGTACATCCAATGCAATCCCTATCAACATACCACCGGCATTTTGTCACAAAGCAAGAACAAACAATTCTAAAATTTGTGTGGAACCACAAAAACCCCGAGTACCAAAAAGTCATGTTGAAAAAGAAAAGTAAAACAATTCCAGACTTCAAGCTATGTTACAAAGCTGTAATCATCAAGACAGTATGGTACTGGCACAAAAACTGACACATAGATCAATGGATCAGAATAGAGAACCCAGAAATGGACCCACAACTATAGGGTCAGCTAATCTTCAACAAATCAGGAAAGACTATCCAATGGAAAAGAAGACAAGCTCTCCAACAAATGGTGTTGGGAAAATTGGATGGCAATAAGCAAAAGAATGAAACTTGACCACTTTCTTACACCATACACAAAAATAAATTCAAAATGGATGAAAGGCCTAACTGTGAGACAGGAAACCATCAAAATTCTAGAGGAGAACATAGGCAGCAACTTCTTTGACCTTGGCCGCAGCAACTTCTTACCAGATACATCTCCAGAGGCAAGGGACATGAAAGCAAAAAAGAACTATTGGCACTTCAAGAAAAAAAGCTTCTGTACACCAAGGGAAATAATCAACAAAACTAAAAGGCAACCTACAGACTGGGAGAAGATATTTGCAAATGACATATAACACAAAGGGCTAGTATCCAAAGTCTATAAATAACTTATCAAACTCAACCTCCCAAAAATAATCCAGTGAAGAAATGGGCAGAAGACATGAACAGACATTTCTCCAAAGAAGGCATTCAAATGGCTAACAGACACATGAAAAAAATGCTCAACATCACTCATCATCAGAGAAATACAAATCAAAACCACTGCCAGATACCAGATACCACCTCACACCTGTCAGAATGGCTAAAATTAACAACTCAGGAAACAATGGATGCTAGCAAGGATACAGAGAAGGGGGAACCCTCTTACACTGTTGATGGGAATGCAAACTGGTACAGACACTCTATAAAACAGCATAGAAGCTCCTCAAAAAGTTAAAAATAGAACTATCTTATGATCCAGCAATTGTACTACCAGGTATTCATTCAAAGGATACAAAAAAATACTGATTTGAAGGGGTACATGCACCCCAGTATTTACAGCAGCACTATTAACAATAGCCAAATTATATCAATAACCCAAATGTCCATTGACTGATGAATGGATAAAGAACATGGGAGGTGTATGTATATAATGGAACATTACTCAGCCACCAAAAAAGAATGAAATCTTGTCATTTGCAACAACGTGGATGGAACTAGAGTGTATTATACTAAGCAAATAAGTATATGCTTAGAAAGACAAATACCATATGATTTTACTCATATGTGGAATTTAAGAAAGAAAACAGATGAACACAGGGGAAGGGAAGGAAAAATAAAATAAAAACAGAGAGGGAGGCAAACCATGAGAGACTTAACTATAGAGAACAAATGGAGGGTTGCTGAAGGGAGGTATATGGGGGGTTGGATCGAATGGGTGAAGGGCATCAAGGAGGGCATTTGTGACGAGCGCTGGGTGTTGTATGTAAACGATAAATCACTACATTCTGCTGAAACCAATAATGCAGGACATGTTAACTAACTTGAACTTAAATAAAATCTTAGAAGAGAAAACAGATGATGTCATTTTATCTATTCTTTTAATCATTTTTTACAACACACAATGATCTCTAATATTGATGAATTCGCTTAGAACTCAGTTTCAGTGGAGTCAGTGTCAAGCACATAGCATGTGCTATGGTGGAAGCAAAATTATTTTAAGCACTCAGAGCCTGTCAAAAATTGATTATTCTTATTTATTTTGAATTTTGAAAAATGTTTTATCAATATCAAAATCTAACGATTTACCTTTCTAAACATTATTTACCTACAATGGAGAATTTAGTCTCTTAAAACACACTTCATCTCTGACCGTTTTTATTGCAGTTTCTTCTTCCCATGCTCACATGCTGCAGATTTAGTCAGGTTGTGTGATGAAAATAGAAGACTGCATTTTTATCCAGATTGTTGAAAAATAACGTATTCGTCACATCACAGGTTTTTAGCAAGATGCTCTGAGCATCAGGCACGTCAGCATGGGCCCCTCCCTTGAACGGGATGGGGGGGGGGTGGGAGTCATCTTACCCAAAACTGCAGTGAAATTCATGGGAAGAATGTATCATGAGCCCAAAGCTGGCCATCCATGCACATACATTTTGATCTCTTTATTATACCTTTCACTTTTTTTATTCCCTCAATTGTCCCCATTTTGGTCCTGCTGGCCCCACTGTTAATAATGATAGCAGAGAGGGCAAACCTGAGGAGGTAGATGTAGTCATCTGATGTACAGACATAGTGTGAATGAAAAAAACCCATCTGACCAAAACAAGGATTATTTTCTTGGTGAAGTGCTCTTTACGATGATTGTAAATTAGACGAAATATTACCTAAAACTGGTGCCACTCTGTTACCTCTACTTTCTATAATTCTCTAATATATTAAACTTCTACTTTAGCCCTCACAATGAACTGACATCCAGTTAGTAAGTTAATAGGCTGCATTTTAAGGTTTCTTAAACACTTGGATATATTTTGTGTATTAACAAAGCTTTTGTTCTTTAATGTTTCTTATTATTTCCATTGCAACATGCTTTTCTTACAAATTATAGCTCTTCTCTTTGCTTGGCATAAAATGCTCTAATTGTAGATGATACACTAATGATAATACGATTTTGAGTTTATATAAACTCAGTAGAAAATGTGGTTAAATACTTCTTGTATAAGAAA